TCCAACATTACACAAAGCAAATCAATTGTAAGGCCAGACCTGACATGTCCACTTGAGGCAATAATTCAAGAACAATATTCTTTACAGAATTTAGGAGATAGAGGAGAGAATACGCAGACGGCTTTTAGAAAGATGTAAAAACAGCAGCGTTGTTGTGGTGGGTGATTTTAACTTGCCCTGTATTGACTGGGACTCACTTCGTGCTAGGGGCTTGGATGGAGCAGAATTTGTAAGGACCATTTGGGAGGGTTTCTTGACACAGTATGTAATAAGTCCAACCAGGGAAGGGGTTATACTGGACCTAGTTTTGGTAAATGAGCCTAGCCAGGTGCGTGAAGTATCAGTGAGGAGCATTTTGGGACTAGTGACCATAATACTGTGAGTTTTAAGTTACTCACAGGGGTAACAGCAGTCCTCGGCTGAAGGTATTAAACTGGGGGAAGGCAACTACAACAATATTAGGCAGGTACTGGAGAGTGTTGATTGGAGGGTAAATCCACATTGGACATATGGGAGTATTTCAAACGGTAGTTGATAAGAGTTCAGGAGCGGCACATTCCTGCAAGAATGAAGGATAGTTATGGCAAGTTACGTGAACCTTGGATGACCAGGGACGTTAAAGACCTTAGTCAGAAAGAAACAGAAGCATACGTAAGGTATAGGAGGATGCAAACTGACAAAGTCCTTGAAGTATATGGGAAATAGGAAAAAAACTTAAACAAGGAATTAGAAGGGCTAAAAAAGATCAGTAAGTCATTAGCAAACAGAACTAAGGAGAATCTCAAGGCTTTTTATACACATATAAAAAGCAAGGTAGCTAGGGAAAGGGTTGGCAACACTCAAGGACAAAGGAGAGGTAGGTGAGGTCTTAAAAGAATACTTTGTATTAGTATTCACCAAACAGAAGGAACTGGTGGAGGATGATCTCACGGAAGGGAGTGTTGAATTTCTAAGCCAAGTTGCTATTAAAAAGGAAGAGGTGTTGTCCTGATAGGATTTATCCCAGAATATTGAGGGAGGCAAGAGAACAAATTGTTGCAGCTTTGACAGACATCTTTGTATCCTCTTTGGCCACAGGTGAGGTTCCAGAGGACTGGAGAATAGCTAATGTTATCCCATCATTTAAAAAGGGTAACAGGGATAATCCAGGAAATTACAGGCCTGTGAGCCTCATGTCAGTGGTAGGGAAATTATTGAAAAAGATTCTCAGGGACAAGACCAATAGGCATTTAGAAGCAAATGGACTGATTAGCGATGGACAGTATGGTTTTGTGCTGGGGAGGTCATCCCTCACTAACTTGATCAAGATTTTTGAGGAGGTGATGAAGATGATTGCTGAGGGAAAAGCAGTCGATGTTGTCTACATGGACATCAGTAAAGCCTTTGACAAGGTCCCTCATGGCAGACTGGTACAAAAGGTGAAGTCACATGGTATCAGGCGTGAACTACCAAGATGGATAGAGACAAAAACAGAAGTTGCTGGAAAAGCTCAGCAGGTCTGGCTGCATCTGTGAAGAAAAAATCAGAGTTAACGTTTTGGGCCCAATGACCCTTCTTCAGAACAGACGGTAGCTGGGAAAATGTCAGTTTATATGCAGAAAATTGGGAGGGGCTTTTATTTTGGGCCTTGATGCCTGAAAGGAAAAGAAAAAGTTTCTTGTTAGCACGACGAATGAGCCAGAGGATGAAGTGGAACTGTGGAGTGGTGCAGCCCTGAGCCAGTGTGTTGCGATGCTGTTGGAGAGAAAGGTTGAGAGTGGGCATGTGACGCCGCATGGCACTGAGTGTGGATCTAAGGATGCGGCAAGAGCAGCTGTCCATGGAATGTTGAACATCAAGAGATATCTGTGATCCTGGGAGGATTCAAAACATGGGGGATGAAACTTCAGTTGGAATCCATCTGGAGTGAGTCTGAGCCAGAGGCAGTCACTGAGGAATGTGATATGGCTGTGGAAATGAGTTTTAGTAAATACTTGATCAAACAGGAGGAGTGACAGTGAAATTAATGTCGGTGGACAAGAAGAAAGAGAGGAGCAGAATTTCTTCAAGGTAGGCATGCCAAGAAGAGATTTGGCACTGAATTAAATACTAAATAAAAACTGGAAGAACTGCAGATGCTGTAAATCAGGAACAAAAACAGAAGTTGCTGTAAAAGTTCAGTAGGTCTGGCAGCATCTGTTCTCTTGCGTCCCTCAATATTCTGGAATATTCTGGGGACTTGTCTATCTTGATACTTTTTAAGAGGCACAACGCCTCTTCCTTTTTAATAGCAACTTGCTTTAGGAATTCCACACTTCCTTCCCTGAGATCATCCTCCACCAATTCCTTTTCTTCACAGATGCTGCCAGACTTGCTAACCTTTTCCAGCAACTTCTGTTTTTGTTCCTGATTTACAGCATCTGCAGTTCTTTCGGTTTTTATTAATATGGATAGAGAACTGGCTTAGTCATAGGAGACAGAGGGTAGTGGTGCAAAGATGCTTTTTGGAACGAAGGGCTATGACTAGTGGTGTTCCACAGCGATCAGTGCTGGGACCTCTGCTGTTCGTGATCTACATAAATGATTTGGAGGAAAACGTAGCTGGTGTAATTAGTAAGTTTGCAGATAATACAAAGATTGGTGGAGTTGCGGATAGTGAGGTGGATTGTAGAGGATACAGATCTGTTGGAGGCATGGACAGAAAAATGGCAGATGGAGTTTAATCTGGAGATGATGTGTTTTGGAAGGTCAAATACAAGTGGAATTTATACAGTGAATGACAGAACCTTTAGGAGTATTGATATGCAGAGAGATCTGCGCGTGCAGATCCACAGATCACTAAAAGGCAGAGAGCAGGTAGACAAGGAAATAAAAAAGACCTATGGCATGCTTGCCTTCATTGGAAGGGGTATTGAGTATAAGGATAGACAAGTTATGCTGCAGCTTTATAGAACTTTAATCAGGCCACACTTGGAATATTGCATATAATTCTGATCACCACACTACCAGAAGGATGTGGATGCTTTGGAGAGGGTACAGAAAAGGTTTACCAGCATGTTGCCTGGTGTGGGGGATTTTACCAATGAATAAAGGTTGGATAGACTGGGTTTGTTTCCACTGGAAGGCAGGAGGTTGAGGGGTGACCTAATAGAAGTTTATAAGATTGTGAATGGCATGGATAGAGTGGAAAGTATGAGGCTTTTTCCCAGGGTGGAGGGGTCAATTACTAGGGGACAAAGGTTCAAGGTGCAAGGGGGTGAAAGTTTAAAAGAGACATGCGAGGCAAGTTTTTCAAAGGGTAGTGAGTGCCTGGAACATGTTGCCAGAGGAGGTGGTGGAAGCAGAGACAATAGCAGCATTCAAGAATCTTCCGGATGAATACATGAATAGGAAGGAAATAGAGGGATACGGATCCTGTAAGTGAAGACACTTTTAATATGGAAGGGCAAAATGTGTTGGCACAGGCTTGGAGGGTCACAGGGCCTGTTCCTGTGCTGTATTGTACTTTGTTCTTTATTTTAATAGTGATCACCTCTTTACCTATATTCACTCAGTTCACTAAAAGTTAATTCTCTTCCCCTCTTTATATTGAGCCTCAGTTTATTCTTCCATTCCCCTCTCCCAAACCTTCCTCTGTATGAATGGGAATCTATTCAAAATGAATGGCGCAAGACAAGTGAATTACAATTAATTAATTTAAGCAAGTTAACCCTAACCCTCACCTAACACATCAGCTAGCTTGAGTGTGGGTAGCATGATTGGCTCAGGGACACGATCAAGCCTTAGTACAAGTGAATTATTGGACAGAGGGATAACTATCAAGATGTCAATTATGGACTGTTGATCTCTCTGCAGGTGTCCTTCATTTTATCTATTGATTGTGAAAATGAGCCTTTGGATTTCCGGTGACATTTTTACCACAGAGTTAGGAGGTGAAGGGTTCAAGTCTGACATCCTGGAATCTGGTCTCTGAATACTGGGCTGACAACCAGCCACATTGTCAAATTTGGACAAGTGACCATTGGCATAATAGCAATATTACCACCACCGTGCTAGAAGTTGAAAGGTCCAATCTCCACTTTAGGTATGGAGACAATAAGGACCGTAGATCCTGGAAGCCAGAGTCTACAGGTGTGTGGCTGGAAAAGCACAGTAGATCAGACAGCATCAGAGGAGCAGGAAAGTCAACATTTTGGCCCAAAATGTTGACATTCCTGCTCCTCTGATGCTGTCTTATCTACTGTGCTTTTCCAGCCACACACCTTTAGATTCCACTTCAGGTATTCCCAGTCAGCCAAGACCACAGTGTTGGCTCCAAAACGTACAGTAGTATCCAGCATGGGATACCTGCGTTAGGTGTTGACTCTCTCATCCTCATACAAGATAGCTGGGTTTCAACTGCAACTCACCTGGAAGGTACTTCGAAAATAAAAATGTTGAAGAAGAAAATCTTACCAGTTGAGCCAATATTCCCAGTTAGTCAACATCTGACATGGGATATAGCAAGTAACATCCTCAACATCCTTCAGAGCCAAGGCCATTGTTGATTGAACAAGAAAATCTGTGGTTGTATTGATTCTAATTAAGAACGGGGGAGGCCAGGGGAGGCAGCGAGCATTTCTTAACTGAAAAGCGATGCTTACACATCAATTCTTTTCATTAACCGCGCCGCTACAGCGAAAGAAATGTCGATTCTGATGAACCAAGCCCACTAACAAACCATGGTTCATGACCATTAGGACACCGAACAGCTGTCATGAAAAACACTGCTTTCGAAACCAGCAAGGCTCTTCCCAACCCCTGCCTACTGGCAGTGAATTATAATGGACTGGTTGAAAACCAGGAAAGTGATTGCACTCTTATTTACATTCAAAACATCTTCTGGAAGCAGAGATATGGCCCGACCCTTCCGCCCACATCTGCAATTCTTTTGTACTCCCTTAATACAACCGGTGAAAATCATCTATTGGTGTTTCCCTTCCTCGTCCCTCAGCACTTTCTCCCTTCAAGTGAGCTCGTACCTTGTGTTGTTTCCACATGGCTCCCAGTGCCTTGAGTTCGTGCTTGCTGTGTTTCCCATCTTCCAGGCACTGGTAGCACACGGGGATCTTGCAACTGGCGCAGTACATGCTGTGGTTCTCCAGTTCGTGCTCGGTGCAGGTGGAGAGCTTGCGGGGCAGCGGTTGTTTCTTGGTGGGGGCAGGGGCACGGGCCTGGCCGGCCGGGATGAGCTGGTGCTTGGCCAAGGCTCCCCGGGCCGGGTGGCAGCGTCGTTGGCACGGCTCGCAGTAGAACACGTCGCACTGCTCGCAATGGACGGCCGCCTCCTGCGAGCCCAGTTCGCACAGCTGGCAGCGGGCGTGCTCGGCGCGACCTTGCTGGTAGCGACCGACAATGGCCTCCAGCAGGCGGTTCCTGGCAAAGCCGCGGAGTCCCCGCTCCTCCAGCAGCGCGCTGCGGTGGCACTGCGGGCAGGTCAGGCTCGAGTGGCGCAGCGGCGCCGGCGGGAACACCCGCACGCCGTTCGGAGACTTCTGGCTGGGGGTGGCCGGCGCGATACCCGTGTAGGAACCGTAGCCACTGTCTGCCTCGCTGTACACGCTCATCTTGTCCAGCTCCAGGTAGTCGTAATCCGAGGCCGAGACCCTGGCCCGGGCCTGGGGAGACGGCGGCTCCGCCTCGGGAGTCTGCACCAGAATGGTGCGGGCACAGGGCATGCAGACATTGTGCGAGCACGGCAAGATGATGGGGTCTCGGTAGAAAGAGCCACAGACCGGGCACTTGAGCTCCTCTTCCATGTCAGCCATGCAGTTGGCGGGGTAATCGGGCGGGACGCGCGGCACGCAGCGCCGCCGTTTCAGCACCAGGCGAGGGACAGCGCAATCACTCACTGCGCATGTGTCCCCACCCCTTCACCCGGCGGGCGCTGTTGCGCACTGCGCGTTCCTGTTTTTCTCTCCATTAGGTAGAGATAGAGCCATTGCTCAATGCGTATATTCATGCTCCCCTCACTCGAAGGACGCATATTACAACTGCGGAAGGGTCACTGGACTCTAAACATTAATTCTGATTTCTCTCCACAGACTTGCTGAGCTGTTCCAGCAGTTTCTATTTTTGTTAATCCCCAATGTTCACTGTCTGAAGTTCTGTCAGGAGCAAATTACTGCAGGTGTTGGAATTTGTACTGAAAAAGACCTCTGGGGAAGAGTCACCTAGACTGGAAACGTTAGCTTGCTTTCCCTCGATGGAGCTGCTTGACCTGCTGTGATCTCCAGCAATTTTTGTGTTTTCAGTGAAGTTTTGTCAACTTTGATCCAGAGGAACTGCCTGATGAGAAGCGGTAGTCCTCTGCGTGTGATGATGAGTTCCTGTGGTGGAAACAGCATATTTTAAAATTGCAGTTACTTATACTTTGGTTCGATGGCAATGTTAGCCACAATGTGAATATAGCCTGAATCTAGAGGAGGGGTTGCAGACCAAAAGTACTTTAGGCTTGGAAAAGGTGATCTCCCAGTTTCACTCTAAAGTCCCACCAAATTTGAACAATGAATTCATAAATACACAATTAAGGCATTGTTGCATATCTAAAATCGCTTAAACGTCAAAAACAAAAACAAAAATGGCTGGAAAAACTCCGCAGTTCTGGCAGCATCTGTGGAGACAAATCAGAGTTAACATTTAGGTTCTGGTGATATTTCCTGAGAACTGATAGTAGCTAGGAAAAGGTTGTTTTTTATGCAGAAGATAGAGTAGGGCGGGGGAGAGGTAAGGAGTAAACAATAGGTGGAGATAGAGTCCAAAGAGAGAGAAGAACAGTTGTTCAGCCAAATGAATGGATAATGATCAGCCTAGCAAAAATGAATAACTATAATGGGGACAATTAGTGACTGACAATGAGTTGTGTGTAATAGCAGGCCATGTGATAACAAGGCCTGGTGTGTGAGTGTTAGGGTAAGGACATGGGAGAAGGTGCTTCAAGCCCTAAACCTGTTGAACTCGAGTCCAGAAGGCTGTAGAGTTCCCTAGTGGAAAATGAGGTGCTGTTCTTCCAGCTTGCACTGAGCTGTGCTGGAGCACTGCAGCAAGCCTAAGACAGAGATGTTAGCCAGGGAACATGGTGGTGTGTTGAAGTGGCAGGCAACTGGAAGCTCAGAGTCTTTTTGAGTGGACACGCTGGCACAATGGTTAACACTGCTGCCTCACAGCACCAGGGACCCAGGTTTGATTCCACCTTCGGGCTCCTGTCTGTGTGGAGTTTGCACATTCTTCCTGTGTCTGCATGGGTTTCCTCCAGGTACTCCGGTTTCCTCCCACAGTCCAAAGATGTGCAGGCTAAGAGGATTGGCCATGCTAAATTGCCCACAGTGTTCGGGGATGTGTGGATGGGTTACAGGGAAAGGATAATGGGTCTGGGTGGGGTGCTCTGGGGGTCAGTGTGGACTTGTTGGGCTGAAGGGCCGTTTCCACACTGTAGGGATTCTATAATTCTACGATAATTCTATGAAAACACAGGTGTCCTGCGAAGCAGTCACTCAGTCTACGCTTCATTTCCCCAATATAGAGGAGATCACATTGTGAGCAGTGAATGCAGTAGACTAGATTGAGTGAAGTGCAGGTAAAGCGCTGCTTCAACTAGAAGGTGTGTTGGGCCCTTGGATACAGAGGAGGGATGAAGTAAATGGACAGTTGTTACACCTTCTGCGATTGCATGGGAAGTTGCCAAGGGATTCTGGCAGGAGTGTTGGGAGTGAAGGAGGAGTGGACTAGAGTGTCGCGGAGGGAATGGTCCTTGCGGAAGGCTGACAGGATAGAGGAGGGGAATATGTGTTTGGTGGTGGTGCTGAAGATGGTGGAAATAGTGGCTAATGAGCCCCTGGATGTGGATGTTGGTAGGATGGTAGGTGAGGACAGGAAGAGAGGGGGTGAGGGCCGAAGTGTAGGAAATGAGTCGGACATGGCTGAGGAACCTGTCAACTACAGTGCTGGGGAATCTTCAGTTGAGGAAGAAGGTGGACATTTCAGAGGCCCTGTTATTGAAGTTGGTGTCATCAGAACAGTTGCTATGTAGATGGAGGATCTGGGAGAATGGAATAGAGTCTTTACAGGAAGTGGGGTATAAGGATGTATAGTCAAGGTAACTGTGGGAATTGGTTGGTTTGTAGCACTTTACCTGCACTTCAATCAATCTAATCTACTGCATTCACTGCTCACAATGTGGTCTCCTCTACATTGGGGAAACAAAACGTGGACTGGTGACTACTTCACAGAATGCCAATTCATGGGGGAGGCGATGGCCTAGTGGCATTATTGCTGGACTGTTAATCCAGAGACCCAGAAAATGTTCTCGGGACCTGGATTCGAATCCTGCCTCGGCAGATAGTGGAATTTGAATTCAATAAAAATATCTGGAATTAAGAATCTAATGATGACCATGAATCCATTGTTGATTGTCGGAAAAACCCATTTGGTTTACTAATGTCCTTTAGGGAAGGAAACTACCATCCTTACCTGGTCTGGTCTACTTGTGACTCCAGACCCACAGCAATGTGGTTGATTCTGAACTGCCCTCTGGGCAATTAGGGATGGGTAATAAATGCTGCCTAGCTAGCGATGCCCTAATCCTGTTAAAGAATAAAACAAAATATTCTGTCTGCAAAAAAGACCCTGTGTTTCCAGTTGCCTGCCACTTCAACACACCACTGTATTCCCTGGCCAACATCTTCTGTGTCAGACTTGTTGCAATGCTCCAGCGCAGCTCAGCGCAAGCTGGAAGAACAACACCTTATTTTCTGCTTGGGAATCTATAGTCTTCTGAATGAGTACAGAGTCAAACTACTCAAGCTCTCTCATAATACAGTACCTTCATACTTGGTATCAGCCCATCGACCTTCTCTGGACTGCCTCCAATGTCATTATATCTTTCCTTAGATAAGGGGCCCAAAACTGTTCACAGTATTTCAACTGTGGTTTGACTAGTGCCTTGTATTGTTTGGGGAAAATGTTCCTACTAGTATACTCCATTCCCTTGAAATAACGGGCAAAATTCCATTTGTCTTCCCCATTATCTGCTTAACTTGGATGCTACCTTTTTTATGATTCATGGACAAGGATTCTCAAATCCGTCTGTTCTATAGCTTGCCTTTTTCTATTTAAATAATATTCAATTTCTCTATTCATCCTGCAAAATGTATGACCTCACATTTCCCATATTATATTTCATTTGCCAAGCATTTGCCTACCCACTTAATCTATCTGTATCCCACTGCAAACTCTGAGTCACCTTCACCACTTGCCTTCCCACCCATCTTTGTCTCATCTGCAGACTTGGCAATAGTACATTCACTTCCCTCATCCAAGTCATTAATAGATTTTGTCAATAATTGTGGCTCCAGCACTGATCTCTGCAGCACTCTTCTAACTGCAGGTTACCATCCCGAAAATGCACTCTGATGTCAAGTTCTTGTCTTCTATTAGTTAGCCAATTCTCTTTCCATACTAATATCCAAAATAATACAATAAGGTAGGCAATGGCCTAGTGGTATTATCAGTAGACTATTATCCAGAGACCTAGGTAATGCCCTGGGGACCCCAGTTTGAATCCTGCCATAGCAGATGGTGGAATTTGAATTCAATTTTTAAAAATCCAGAATTAAGAGTCAACCACGTTGAAAACCATGGATCCCTTGCCAATTGTTGGAAAAACCCATCTGGTTCACTAATGTCCTTTAGAAAAGGAAACTGCCATCCTTACCTTACTTACACATGACTTCAGAACCACAACAATACGGTTGTCTCTCAACTGCCCTCTGGGCAATTAAGAATGGGCAATGAATGCTGGCCTAACCAGCAATACCTTCATCCCATGAATAAATAAAATAAAACAACTTTCAACACAATGTGTTCTCTTATTAAGTAGCCTTCTGAAAATCCAAATACATTATATCCGCTGCTTCCTCTTTTTTCTATCCTGCTTGTTACCTCCTCGAAGTATTCTAAGAAATTTATAAGGCATTACTTCCCCTTCATGAAGCCATTCATTTTGCTGCAACATTTGATTTGATTTGATTTATTATTGTCACATGTACCGAGATACATTGTTTTGCATGCTAACCAGACAAATCATACCTTACATAAGTATATCAAGGTAATAGAACAGAATGCAGAGTATAGTGTTACAGCTACAGAGAAGGTGTGGAGAAAGATCAACTCTAATATATGAGAGGTCCATTCATAAGTTTAATAACAGCAGGGAAGAAGCTGTTCTTAAAACTGTTGGTATGTGTTTTCAAACTTTTGTATCTTCTGCCCAATGGAAAAGGTGGGAGGGGTGTTTGATTATGTTGGCTGCTTTGCCAAGGCAGCCGGAAGTATAGACGGAGCCAATGGAAGGAAGTCTGGTTTTCGTTATGAACTGGGCCGCGTTCACAACTCTCTTTAATTTCTTGTGGTATTGGTCAGAGCAGTTGCCATACCAAGCTGTGATGCATCTTGTTAGGATGCTTTCTGTGGTGCATCTTTAAAAATTGGTTGGCTCAACGTGGACTTGCCAAATTTCCTTAGCCTTCTGAGGAAGTAGTGGCATTGATGTGCTTTCTTGACCGTAGCATCAATGTGGAGGAGCCAGGATAGGTCGTTGGTGATATTTACTCATAGGAACTTGAAGCTCTCGACCACCTCCACTTCAGCACCATTAATACAGACAGGGGCGTGCCCTCCACTCCACTTTCTGAAGTTGATAACCAGTTCCTTTGTTTTGCCGACATTGAGGGAGAGGTTGTTTCAGAGATAGTAGGAACTGCAGATGCTGGAGAATCTGAGATAACAAGATGTAGAGC